TGTGGAAGGGGTTACATCGGTATCTACCGATGCGACCAACCTCCGGATCGAGGATGGCGTCGTGGAAAGGGACACTGAAGTTCCAACCAACCGCGATGCCTCCGGATCGAAGGAGGTAAATATAAGGAAGGGTTACAAACGGTCGGTGAGGTACTGTAAGAGCTTCATCGGTCGCGAACCCTTACAAATTACAGAGAGGGAAAAAGCCCTGATTAGGGTGAACATGAAGGCAATAAGGAAGTTCGAGAAGAACCATCCGGAAGTGCCTAAATGTACACTCGAAAAGGACCTTGCCTCTCTCTTTACAGCCCCCACTAACAAGGTAAATCCGTCTGAGGATAAGCCAACTAGTGGGGCTGGGGTGAAGGGCAACACCTCTCCCGGCGGTGGAAAGACAGCTTCGGCTGTTGCACCACCAACGGAATCAAGTGTAGCCCCCACCACTTCTAACTCAGGAAAACGGAGGAACAAAAGGAAGGACGCCCCTAACGGAAATTCTGCCCCAGTGGAACCAAAGGAGGCCAAATCCTCTTCTCGGGTAACGATGAAGAGAGGACGGTCAACGGAGGAACCACATCCCGAGGCAAAGAAACCGTTAACGGGCAAACTTCCTCCTCCGCCAACTGCGGCTTCTACGCCAGCAACTGTAGCAGGTGGGGAGGTAGTGGCAAGGCCGGTGCAAGCAGCCTTAGTGGACCCTAGGTCTGCTAATGCGAAGCCTGCTACCACCAACCCACAACCTTCAAGCCAGCCATCAAGAAAGAGGAAACACTCCCAAACCCTGTACCCGGACAATCTCCGTGTAGCGGTCATCGACCGAGCTGAGCCGGAAGGCAAAATCAGTGAAAGTCGGTGGCTTCTCATTGAGGACCGTCTGAGGGAGCAGGTTTTCCTGGGGGAGGATCCTTCCAAGTTACAGTTTGGCAGTGCAACCGTCTACAAGGGAGTGAAGGTCATCTGCTGCGAAAATGAGGAGTCAAAGAACTTCCTCGTGACCGCAGTAGCTGGCCTTCAGGAACTTTGGGATGGAAGTGCACTTGCTGCTGTATCCCTGAAGGATATCCCCTGCAGGAGGATTTTAACAGCATGGGTGCCGCCGCCCTCTGTGGACCCGGCACGCGTGCTGATAATATTGGGGAAGCAGAATCCCAATCTCTGCACGGACGGCTGGCGCTTAGTTGGCTCAAGTACGGAGGGAGGGGGCCTGGTCATAAAGGTCTCTGTTGATACTGCTGGCCAGGAATACCTTCAGGCTCGTGGAGGGAAGTTGCACTTCGGCACAGGATGGATTCGGTTCCGTCTAACGTCGTCGCAGTAGGAGAAACGAAGCCACAGCTGCTTAGCATTATGCAGATTAACCTGCATCACTGCAAGGCAGCTGGGGCTGAGCTTCTCCTATCCCTCTCCAAGCTTGAAGTTGACATAGCCCTGGTCCAGGAACCTTACATTTTTAAGAATAAGGTAACTGGGCTAGGGAGTGAGCGGTACATCACCTATGCCACCTCCAATGGGGAAAAGGTTAGAACGTGTATCGTCGCAAAGAAAAACTTAAACTTAATCTTCCTTAACAATTTCAGCGGAGGAGACGCCACGGCGGTCAGACTGGAGACTAGGACGGGCAAAACACTATTCCTCGTCTCCCTGTACCTTCCCTTCGAGCACCCCGACCCACCAGGCCAAGTGGTAGAGGAGCTGGTCTCAGTACTGGGTGGAAAAGGCGGACTCATCATTGGATGTGATGCAAACGCTCACCACTCTCAATGGGGCAGTAGTAAAAAATCAGGCTTAACAATAGACTACACTAATTACTCTGTTGCTAGATCTAAATATACTTTAGAGTCTCGTAGACTGTATAATCTTTACCTAGACAAGATTAAAAATAATTTTAAATCCAATCCTACATCTTTTTATGATTTTGTTAATCTAAAACGAAAAGTTTCCTCAAAGCCCTCAGTATTGAAATATAACAATAAAGAATTTGTCACAGGCACAGATATTGCTGAATGTTTCGCAGATTTTTTTGCCACAACCTATTCCAGTACATCTTGCCAAATTAAAGATTCGTATCCTTATAAGTTGTCACAGGCTGATCAAATTTGTATGCCTTTTCTACAACGTCAGGATGTGTACAATAGTCTGCGTAGTTTAAAATCGATTAAATGTCCAGGACCGGATGGCATACCTAATATAATTCTTAAATATTGTTCAGAAACATTAGCACTTCCGTTAACTATATTGTTTAATTATTCACTGAAATTTGGTCACTTTCCTACTTTCTGGAAAAAATCTTATATTATACCTTTACATAAGTCTGGTAGTCTTACTAATGTGTCAAATTATAGACGAATTGCAAAATTAAGTGCAATACCAAAATTGTTTAAAAAATTAATTACTGCAGTAATTTCACAGAAAATTCAATCTATATTGAGTCCATATCAGCATGGTTTTCGTAGTGGTCTTTCAACTACAACAAATCTTATACAATTTACGTCAACAGTAATAAAAGGATTTGTTCAGCGTAAACAAACTGATACAATTTATACTGATTTTAGTAAAGCTTTTGATAGGGTTAACCATGAACTCCTAATATATAAAATAAATTATATGGGTTTCAATACAAACTTAGTCAAATGGATATCATCTTACTTAAAAAATAGATCACAACTAGTTTTGTTTGAAGGGTATCTATCCAAAACGATTAACGTTCCATCGGGTGTTCCGCAAGGAAGTCACCTTGGACCGGTCCTCTTTCTTTTATTTATCAACGATTTACCTAATTCCATAAATTACTCGAAATTGTTAATGTACGCAGATGATGTTAAATTATTCATTTCCCATAATTGTGATAAACGAGCCAGTTTACTTCAAAACGATTTAGATAGCCTTTTTAAATGGTGCAAGTTAAATTGTATGGCGTTAAATTTAAGCAAATGTAAGCATATATGCTTCTCCAGATCTTCTTCTCTGATATTACAATATAATATTGACGGTCATTCATTATCAACTGTAGATTCATTTGTCGATCTAGGCCTCTTGATGGATCCAAAATTAAATTTTAATAGCCATGTAATAACAATGGTAAATAAAGCAAATGGTGTTTTAGGTTTTGTTAAACGGTGGGCCAAAGAATTTTCTGATCCATATATAACAAAACAATTATTTACTTCTCTTGTTAGACCTATATTGGAATATAGTTCTGTTGTATGGGATCCTCAATATGCAATATATTCAGATAAAATAGAATCCGTGCAAAAACAATTTCTGCTATTTGCCTTACGAGGTTTACATTGGAATAGTGATTTTGTTTTGCCTTCTTATGCTAGCAGGCTAAAATTAATTAGATTGCCTACACTTAAAAGCAGACGTATTATGTTGAACTCCATGATTGTACTAAAAATATTAAATGGTTATATACCTTCAGATTTCCTAATCTCATCTATTAGAATTAATGTTCCTTTTAGATCTAGTAGATACTACCAATTATTATATACTGATTTTCACCGCACGAATTATTCAATGGGCGAACCTCTTAATAAAATGTGTGTTGACTTTAATTCTGTGTATTGTAATGTAGATTATTGTATGAGTTTAGAAGTTATTAAATCTAGAATAATTTTATTTTTAAACAATTAACATACATGTTTTATTATTTGACAAACTAGCTGATGAATTAGATTCTGTAGCTGGTTTTCAATTTCCTACTGAATTCCCATTATGATGCGGATCATGATGTGTACGCGATCCCTCCGTAAAGGGAGGTCGCCCCCTCGGTCGGCAGGGGTGGGAATGTGAGGCGTGGGAACGTTCGAAAAATAAAAAAAAACTGAATGAAAGGTCATAATATGTCATCTTTATTTGTTTATGTATGTGTTTTCTTTTCAATAACAAAAAAATTGTTCAGAAAAGATTCAAATTCGGATCTTTTCAAAATGTTTATTTCATCGTATGCATCGACAAAATCTAGAGTTTTTGTAGCGAGATAATCCTTTAGAGATATATAGAACCTGGTTTTGAAAAGAAGTGTTGACTTTTCATTCAGTTTTCGCGGTTTTCAATTATTTATTCAAAATAAATGCAACAAGTTGTTTCATTTTTTATTGTTTTGATACTAATTCTGACATTACAAGCCAAACAGGTAGACCTCTATACTTGCCATTTTTTTTAAAGTTGGCCTACCTTTTCTTCATTGTACCATGGGTATAGCATGGGTAATGTCAGAATTACTATAAAAACGAAATCTGAATGAAAGATAAAAATTTCTTTTCAAAATCATGTTCTATTTATTGGTAAAGGTTTATTTCGCTATAAAACTGTAGATTTTGTAGATGCATACGTTGCAATAAACATTTTGAAAACACTCGAATTTTAATATTTTCATATGGTATCATAGCCCTACCTTGATTTTAATGTACCTTGGGTATACCCTGTTTTGACATAAAATTGGACATTAAACTCTGACACTTGTATTACGTACAAAAACAAATTTGTATGTGGTTGTTATTACGATTGTTGTACAAAAATACTTGCTGTTACCTGTATTATTCTACCATGGTTTCTACTGAATAATAAAAAATTGAAACATTGAAATTAAAAAAAACAGGAATGTAAAATTAATAATGCAATATTTTTTTGGGAGAAAAACAATAAAAATACAATATCTTCTTTTCATATTAGTGCGTATTTCATGCATTCGTTCAAATTACTAATAAAAATAATGAATGAATTGAAAAAAGTAATCACGTTACAATGAATTGCTAAGTATACCGTATGAACGCGTTTATTCGTGAACGTAATTGTGAATACAGACAACTTAGTTCAAATCAAGGACGCTCAAATATTAATGAAAACATGGTATAAGGGTCGTACAATGAATAGAGAATGAGTCAAGTGCAGTGGCACATCCGCATTTAATATCAAAAACATGCTTTATAATTAAAAATTTACAATGAAATTAAAAATGATCAATACAAATATATATCTTTCTCATCCCTTATTACCAGGTGGGCAATTTTGTCATTGGGATGGCACCGGGATGTTCGTCGTAATAGTCCAGATTCGATGAACCAAATTTCCCCAGATGGAAATGGATATACCAATCCCATTGCAGTAAATAGCCAAGTTAAAGCGTATCGCGCCAATTTGAACAAAGTAAGCAAAAGCATTGTCACCAGTAACTTAGCTAGGTTCTTGGCTTGGGGTTTACCGGCTTTTCAAACCGCCGCTGTTATTGTTGCACGAATTATAGATGCTGATGAGCTTTTAGGTAAGTGATTATTGAACCCATTGCTAAAATTTGCATAATGTTACTTTATTCCCCAGGAGCATGTTTTGTTGGTAATCAATCGGACAAAGGTTTGCAAATTCTAGTAGCTACACCACTATTCTGTTATTGGATTTTCGGATCTATGAATTTGGCCTCGGGATTCTTAGTCCACCGGCGAAATAAAGAAATAGCAAGCAATTCAAATTCCACGCACTTGAGAATATTGCTGCAATTGAAATATAGCGTATCCGGATCATTTCTTTTTATATACTGTTTTCCTTGCGCATTACTCCTTCTGGCGGTAATATACGAGTTCGCTAATATCGATGTGTGGCTAAGCGAATCACCATATATAACACTAGATAGGAGTTTTTCAAGTCTAAATAACGAAACACCAATGTGGCCCTTTCTATCAAGAGCTTTTATGGAATTGTTGCTGGCAATAATTACATCCTCGTGGATATTAGTGCCTAAATTGTCGTCAATGTACAAAGGGCATATGACTAAACATAGTAATGCAAAAACTATGCCCATCCCGCCATTGCACAATTCTGTACATACCACAAATAATGTTAGCTGTCGTTTATCTGGCAAAACGTATAGTACTGTTTCCTATCAATCTGTACGACAATCTAAAAACAAATCGTCCAATGTGGATCAACATCAAGGTAGTGCAATAATGTTGAAACATCCCCCAAATTTCTCCGTTGGCCGAAGCAAATCTGTTCAAAAGCAATCAAGCCATTTCCCAATTAATTTACCAGATAAAAAGACAGCACATACTTTTACCATGTACCGAGATGAGACGATTCTTTAGCGATTAAATAATGGGAATCAATTGTTATATTGGATAAGTCTGTGATATGCATCAATGTATTGCCTATAACTAAAATAATTCTAGTGCTAACTATATCACGTATAAAAGTTTATGGAAACAACCAATTATGTTCATTAAGAATGGCATTACAATAAGTTTATTCTATATAAACACACTAACTAATTATATTTTTAGTTCTAGGGCAAGTGTACTTACCCATATTAGTTTTAAGAAATGTGCCATTAGTTATAAGAAATATTTATTTTAATAAATTTGAAATCAATTATATAAATTTTATTCCGAAGTATTGTGCCATCTCACTGAACTGAACGAATGCATTTTTTTCCACATTACCAGCCGCTGCTGACCGAGATCGGCACCTCCACATAACGCAGGGAGAGCGAACATCCAGTGTCCGAATGGGTTAAACAAAATAGATTTAAGTTAAAGAACATTGACAAAGCAAAAAGGACAACACAATTAAACGTAATGTCTGGTAAGGTAAGCAAAAGAGTCAATATTATCTTATTGTCTCTCATAAAGTCGAGCCCATTTTATATCTTTACCAACATATCATAGTTGTTAAGGGATTCATTAATGGTATACAAACTGATACCATCTATACAGATTTCAGTAAAGCATTTGATCATGTCAATCACCAATTTTTATTATATAAAGCAAATCATATGGTCATCAGTAATTAATTATTGTCGTGGATAGCATCTTATTTAATAGATAGCATCTTATTTAATAGATAGCATCTTATTTAATTGAGGGTTGTCAATCTAGTTTTTTAATATCATCGGGTATTCCGCAGGGAAGTCATCTTGGACTGGTGCTTTTTTCTTGTTTGTAAACGATTTACCGATTTCAATAAAATATTCAAAATTACACACAAGTTCAATGAAAAGTCAAACTTTTTGCATTGTGATCTCAGTAGCAGTGCAGTTTAATTTTCATGAATTTAAAGTTAAAAAAATGTATAAAATAGATAAAGAAGCAAAAAAATGCACCAAAACTTACTCAGTCTAACATACCCATCGAGAACCTGTCAGATGCAATGGCAGACCATAACAATGTTCTCACAACGCCTAAAAGTCTAACATAATGAATTGTACGCTCATTTTAGAATATTAAACTAATAAGGTGTCAACTGAAAGCATATCTTAGGAGGTGCTACTAACAAAAATTTGGATGATTAGGCTTGGAATATGCGTTATTTGAAACGATGGTCATCCTACTCACATTTCCTCTCTCAATACATTTACAATCGTAGATATTGCATGCTACTCTTATCTCTTTTATTAATTACATCATAGGTTACTCTATCCTAAGTACCATTTTCAGGCACAGATAATTACTATCATGAAAGAGGCAGAATTTATTAAATTGAGAAAATAAATAGGTCCAATAAAATTGAGAACAAGTCAAAAATATATATAAATTAATCGGTGAAAGATGAAATAAATATAATTAACATCTATATCGATAAAAGAGGAAAATGTTGCTGCTGCACAGATTTTCCGGAAAATTTCCAAATTTCCATCGCTGAAACTAACATAGGCTATATAAATTTTTGATATTCCACTTGGAACTGTAAATCTAGCATCAGAATCGGAGTTAACTCCCAACAATTTAGATTTTATATGCACATATCTCTTGATCGATTACAGATACAGTCTCCAAATTTGGAATGATGGAATTTTTCTACAAAATTTGTTTGCCAATTATATTGAAATTGGTACAGATTTGGATATAGCTCCCATATATATTTTTTTTCGATCGATTTCGTTTATTTGATGCACAAAACAACATATCTATGTTCGATTCCAATGAAATTTGGAATGTGTGGCGGATTTGATCAGGAAATAAATTTGTCAAATTATATTGGAATCGGTTCAGATTTGGATATAGCTCCCATACATATTTTCGACCGATTTCACATATTTGATACACCAAACACGATACATATGTCTGAATCCAATGAAATTCGAATGAGTGACTAAATTTGTTACAAAAATAAGTTTGTCATATTATATTCAAATCGGTTCAGATTTGGATATAGCTCCCATATATATTTTCGACCGATTTCGTTTATATGATGCTCCAAACACGATATGTATGTTCGATTCCAATGAAATTTGGAATGAATGACGGGATTTGATCGGAAAATAAATACACCAAATTCCAAAGAAATTCAGAATGTGTGGCGGAATTTGGTTACAATAATAAATTTGTCGAATTAATTAGAAATCGGTTAAGATTTGGATATAGCTCCCATATATATCCTCGGTCGATTTTACATTTTTGATGCACCAAACACGGATGTACCTCCAATTTCAATGAAATATGGAAGGTGTCACGGAATTTGGGGTAAAAGTAAATGTTGTCAAATTATATTGAAGTCGTTTCTGATTGGGATATGATTTTATTAAGAAGCATTGACCCACAACGCCTTTGCAATGGTATTAGACGAACAGTAAAAATCTACACAATTTAATTGAGGATACGATTATTACGGGGAAGTATGTTACTACCTCGAACTCCAATTGCAACAAAAATTACAGAAATGCCACTCAACTTCAAAAGATTGCGGTTTCCTGCTCTCTTGTCATTTGCTATGAAATTAATAAATCCGAAGGACAAACCCTTCTTGTATGCGGACTAAATTTGGCATGTTCCTGCTTTTCTCATGGTCAGGCATGTTCACGCGTCGGTCGGTCTACCGATATTTGTTTGTTTACGCATTAAAGTATTGCAATAATTACGCTTTTTAAATTTTTGAATTTGTTTTATTTTTTTAACCAACAAATATTCGTATATAAAATTTTGAATGCATAAATATAAATAACACAAAAATAAAAACAGAAAAATATGAGTCAATGAGGTTAGCGCTTACTGCCGACCACAGTCATGACAATATTTTTATAAATTTATATCAGTATTTTAATTGTGGCGGTTTGTGTCTACTATGACAATTTACAAAAGTTTTCTTGCTCTTAGGAAATAATATACACAGTAGTACAGTTATTCTGGCCAATATAACATTAAAATGGTTGTTATCACTGATATTGAGGTTGAAAACGCGAACTAGGTATCATAAACAGGGTGGGCAGCAAATATCAAAATTCACATGTTTGTGCCGTCTGCCGCACTATCCAGCTGTACGAAACTTTGAAGTAAATATTTGTTCTCGAATTTTAAATTGCATACCAAGTTGATATCAAGATTATAGGAGCATTTTGGTTCTGCTTGACCTGGGGCGTATACATAAAAATATTTACCATTTCACTACAATTTTTTTTTGTTTTTCGAATTACCATTAAAACTGGACCATTTTGTCTGGCAACCTTTGCTTGTTGGAATCTTCCTGCTTTTACATGCATAAGTTGTTAAATACCAGAATTCATCTTTGTGACATAGGATTCGTGACAATTACCAAACAACTATGAAAATCTTATATTTTTGTTTGATTTCTGCTCTCTTATTTATTTGTTTATGCTGTTCTTTTTTCAGCAATATTCAAATGTTCTCCTTTTTTTGATCGATCGTGATGTAAAAATGGTTAGGTCTTACTGACTTTGGAAGATGCTGATAATAGGTGTGTCTGGTTACCCTAAAATTTGTAACAATTGTTACAAATTGTTACTGGAAGTCGTCTGTTAACCCGAAAGTTCTGCAAAAGAGAGCGGTTGGAGAGAGAAATTTTGACAGTTCTTTCAGTGAGAGTTTGCAAATTCTTGCTGGACAAATTTCTTCTTGCAATCTCTTGCAACTCTTCTTCTTCTCATTCATCGACATTCAATCAGATGTTTTCTATTGTTTATTTATTTCTTTTTGTGATTTTAATTTGAAAATATTGTTTTGGAATTAGCAAGACTTATTGTTTTTGGAGAACAACTTTACAAAATGTAAAAAAAAATAAATATTAATATGTAATAAGAAAACAAAACACTATTTCCAACATTTTTAGACAAATGCCATTAGCAACAAGTTTAAAGGATTCCGCGGAACACATTAAATCTATCTTCCTTATATTGGTCATATTTTTATTTTATTGTCAATTTTCTTTTTATTTATAAAACTTGTGAAATTGGTGGTGGTTCCTTTCGTTTAATTCTTTTAATGGGGACAAATTGGTTTGTTTTGACAAATCAGCTGATTAGTTGCAAGCTTCTGCAGGAATACCGTCTGTTTACTTTTCGTAATTTCCTTGCAAAAGAGAGTAAAACTACCTTACTCTCTCAGAAAGATGTTGCTGGACAATTCCTGCAGGAAAAGTAACCAGACACACCTAATGTTGAACACATACACACTTGTTCGATCTTAAATGTCATAACCATGGTAAAAGAATATAGGTAGATGCATCAACGCTCGGGATCATTGATATGTCAAATTTTTCATAATGTTTTGTAAAAAATAAGTAGATTTTTATATGTTTTCTTATGCAATGCAAATCGGAGGTTGAGCTTTGTCGATGCGACTACCTTTATTCTTCTACCATGCGCTGTTGCAAGAATCTATAAAAATAACAAGTCGAAAGTCGTTTCCATAATTGTAAAAATCTGTGCTCTATTTTCACAATATAAATAAAAATAATACTTTTAAGAAATGGAATAACATAGTTCCATAATCCCTCAATTAAAATTCGGAGCATTACTTATGTGATTCAGTGGTGGTTGGTATTCTGGGTCAGCGATAGGCAATAATCTATATTTTTTTTCCGGATTTTACAACATGTTCCATGTTAAAGGGGTTCGAACACACCTGTGATGTGGGTGTAAACATCACTTGGCAAAGTGTACTACATTTTCTCTATTTTTTCGTCTTGGGGACGGAAAAAAATAGCTCTTCCCTGGCCCCTCTTTCTTTTTAGTTATTTATTTTTATAACTTGTAATGCAATTTTTTTCTTTTTACAATAGATTTAAAATGGCCAAACAAATATCGTTTGTTTTGACGTTTGTTTTGGTTGCATCCATGGTAGAAGAATATAGGTAGATGCGTCGACACAGCTGTTGGGACAATAAACTGTCAAACCAATTTTGGAATTGAAAATGTCGAATGAAAAATTATTTAAATTTGTGAAAATCGTTGAAAATCGCGAATTATAATAACCTCCGAATGACATAGTACAAGAAAACGTATAAAAATCTACTTATATTTGAACAAAACACTTAATTTTTTTTATTGACATATCAATGCTCCCAAGCGTTAATGCATCTACCTGTATTCTTATGCCATGGTTGCATCTAATTCAAATTTAATTTACAGATCGTTTGGTAATCAGCTGAGCTT